CTACTAGAATCATTTGGATAGACTTTAATTCCTTAAAAGTCATGGCTTTGAATAGGTATTTGCAAAGAAATATTTCAGATCTGAACACTCAATGACTGAGTGATAGCCTCTTATCACAATCATTCCCTTTCAGCCTCAACCGCCCCCCCCCCCAAAAAAAAACAGCACCTGGTTTTTACTCTATATGATTCATCTTCTTTCAACACAAGGGATCTCTGCTACCTCCCTGAGTGCTGCTTTCCTCCATCCTCATAGGTCAGATTGCCTTGATTTCCCAGCTCATGTACTACAGAAAAAAAAAATCAAGCCTATACTGGGGAGAAAGAGATTCTCTGATTGATTGATTGATTGATTGATTGATTGATTGATTGTACATTGTGATTCTACCTTTATTCTTGCATTGGCTGCCCCTTGAGTACAACATAGGTCAAGAGCTGTCCTGCCACTCCCTGAGGACCTGAAGACTAAGAGTCAACACCTTTGTAACTATTTCCTTTTATGAACAATCCCTTTGCTTCATAAACCCTAATTTCAGCCCCACCTCCCTTTGTGCTGAACACATCACAAGGAAGTCACTTTCAGACTGAATTCAATTTTCCCCATGTCACTGCTCTGACTCATTCCCAGTTCTATTGTGAATAGTAATAAGTATCATTAATATAAAGTTTTTGAACATTCGAATAGTGTATATATTAAGCACCTATGTGATAAAAAAGAGCATGACTAGCCGGGGGTAAGTCCTGCAAATGAAACAAATAAAACAAAGACAGGAGTACTGCAAATTCTAGAAAACCTATTGCAAAAAGCAAAACTTTTTAAAGAACCATTCAATTATTTAAATTACTCAGTCCAACAAGACTTTTCAGTGTATTTGAACAAAAATTAAGCGGTAAGATAATAAAGAATTCTATCTCCATGAAAGAGTCAGTGAATCATTTACAAAAGAAGTTCAAATACTATACTTTCCATTAGAAATAATTTTAGTATTTTATGATGAATCCATTCAGTATAACATAATTTACCTTTTAAAATATAGCAATTAAAAGTATAAATCAAGGTATATATTTGCATTTTCAGGAGCATGAAATTACATCAATATATAACCAAATAGAGGCCAATGGTACAGTACCTTACTCATCCTTTAAAACCCACATTTACAGAGGATGTTTAACCTGGGGGTCATTTGTAGATTTCAGAGTTGTGTTTCTTTTCTTTCTTTTTTTTTTTTTTTTTTTTTTTTTTTTTTTTTTTTTTTTTGTATTTTTTAGTGAAGGGTCTACAGAGTATTCAGGGTCTCACTACTAGATCGGACTCACAGTGATCCACCTGTTTACAGCCTCCCAAGAGCTGGGATTACAGGCAAGTGATACCACGCCCAGTCTCAAGAGTTTTGCTTCTGTAAATAAAATGATTATGCTTTGTGGCTATCTCAACATAAGTTAAAAATTTTCAACTCCTCCTATTTAGATTATTTATTAACATATTTCAAAACTAATATTAGTTCCATAAATACTTTAGAGAATTGAAAGTATTTATTTTTGGTATGTTTGGTGGATCACACAGACTGTGTGTATGTGTGTGTGTGTGTGTGTGTGAGAGAGAGAGAGAGAGAGAGAGAGAGAGAGAGAGACCTCTAGGGAAAAAGCATGTCTACAGCTGTTGTTGAAATACATAAATTTATTTTAAAACTGTCCACAAGAAGGGTATCTACAGCTTGTGGAGAAATCTGTGGAAGTAAAAAGCTGATACCATGGTTGTGCAAACATGTAGTAGAAGAAGCAGCGGCTGCTCTGCCACCTGAGCATTCATGTCTGTGACTGAGGCCAATGTACAGACACCATATTACACAGGGCCAGAGTTGTTCTAAGCTCGAAACACAGAACACATGTGCTTGTCAGGACAAGCAAGTCCTTGTTTTAACGTTCAGCTCTTTGAGTAACTTCTTTAATTTCTGTCAGGACACTGGATTAAGTCAAGTAAGCTTCCTCTGAAGTACCTTGAAGATGCATCTTTAGAGAGCTAAATGGAAACATATACAGAACAGCCCAAGCCTGCTGTACAGGCTGGCTCAGGCATCAGATCTCCGAGACATGCTGTAGATGAGGATGAGATGGTGGAATAGGCTTCATCACATCTCCATTTATCTCTCCCCCTCACTCTCTAACATTTGGGGAAGGATTTTAAAGTTAAATGCTTCTTGCCATCATATGTTCATACAAAAGGTGAATTTTGGCTTAAGTCAGAAAAAATGGTCAAACCCGAAGTCATAGTTGAGGGGAAATGGCATATGCAATATTATAGCATATATTCACACAAGGATTTGGTTTTTTGCTTTGTAAATAAAAGAAAAAACTCTGTAAAAAAAGAAATTACATTAAAACAAAAAGTTACAAATATAAGACTGTAAGAAATAAGTATTAGTTATATGGATATATATGTGAAGCAACATTAAATATTAAAAATATGTGATAAAGTTTTATACTATAATACAGCAAACCTACTTGAAAAATATTTATACATATGAAAAGTACTATAACGTAATGTTAATGAAAATAGTTTAGGTAACATTGTTGAAATTTTTCACAAATACTATTTTAAAATTTGTACTTCGTTGTGAAGACCAATGAAAGACTATCAGGCAAGAGATACATGATCTAAGAATGCATTTAAGAAAGATAAGGGAGGGCTGAGGAGATAGCTCAGTAGAATAAGCTCTTAACTGGCAAGTACAAGGTCCTGAGTTCAATCCCTAGTACTGGAAAAAAAAAAAATAGAAGGATAAGAGAGCCATTTTTCACTGCTTCTGGATTACACATTATATTTGAAAATGTAGAACTTCCAGAGTGAATTCATGAGTCCTTATTTCTCAGTGATTTCTATGATAAAGCCATCCAATTTTGAATTTGAAAGAGTCCAAGAGCCCCTGAATCAACTTCCCACTTTCTCACAGGCACATGAGACTCAAAGAGAATTAGCTAGTATAGCTCTTGGAATGAACAAGTAGTTGGTGAAACAGCATAGGCTAGAATAAAAACTGTAACAGCTAGTGTTACCACAGGTTTTGATTCTTTAGCATGCATTATTTCATACAAAGTTGGGGGCCGGGAAGATGGCTTAGTAGAATAAATGATTCTCTGGCAAGCGCAAGTGTCTGAGTTCAATCCCCAGTTCTGCAAAAAAAACCTCAAAAAACAGTAATCCCACCATGACCTTCTATATGCATTTCCATGTAGCACAGTAGCCAGAAAACCCTTTCACATTTCCTTGGTGTTTTTCCCTTTGTGTTTTCCTGAGCTCTGCTGCTGCCTGCAAACACTGCCTCCTGCCCTGCATCCTTACCTAGCCCAACACACAGGCACAGTGCCACCTTCTTCTGTCCACTTGTCTTCTAGTAGTCATGTGCTGGAAGTGGTAAAAGGAGTAGATGTTAAGTCCAGTGGTTTAACCTGCTCTGTGCACCTACTTAGGGTCATCTCTGTATATCTGTTCCATACATAGTGAAAAATAGCACTTATTACACAGAGAGGGATTAAGGTGCAGTGCCCATTAATGTATAGAAAGTATCCTCCAACGTTAGTCGGTCTGCTGTGGTGAGGAATGTGGTGTCTGATAACATCGGCAGAAGCAACACATCCTCTTGAACTAAAAATGGCTCTGTAACTTGTGAAGGAGTCACAAGATTTTGCGGGCCCTGTCACTTGCTGTTCTGGGTAATCACAGGTTACCAGAACAAATGACATTCTTACTGTTCATCAAATTCCCCATCTATTTCTGATTCTGTTCCACAAGTCATGCTATTGGTTCAAGTTATTCAAGTTGATTCCTTCAGACTTGTTCAGCAAGTTAGATTTTAATTATGTGGGATTTCCTCGTTGGGCTTCAGCTCACTCATAGATACGCATAACACATCAGAACCACTTCAGTGGGACTCTTGAAGGAGTTGGACAAGCAGGAAAAAGGATCTCTTCATTATTCAGGACAGAGATGTATAGGTAAGACCTGCACATTTTTGTCTCTAGAACTCTTAAAATTTTACTATTGCATTTTAAAGTGCATAAAAATTTAGAGAAGTTTAAAAACTTTTGGCTATGGACAACAATCTTTTAAGGACCTTCCCAAAAATTTCACTAAAACATTTAGATATTGTTTCAAACAACATGCTTAATACTTTTTAGGTAAAGTATGGCTTGATGGGGTTCTTCAAGGAAATGAATAAGCCTAAAGGATGGCTTGGCATTTAACCAATCTTTAAATAAGGAAGTGTTTTTATTTTTCATATTTCACTTTTCAAAAGGTTAATGTGTGAATTTTAATGTGATTTGTAAATCCCTCCTTGTGTTGCTCTGGAATTTTTGGTGCGTTCTGTATCTTTGCTTGTATCATCGCGTCATTCATGCCTATTCAATACACTAGGAGTCCTGAAGTCTTTGTTAAGATAGACAGGATTCTCCTACCTCTACACGATTATGGATTTGTTATTTTAAGGAAAGCCCTTGCTAAATTTCCACAAAAACATAACATGTTTGGATTTGCTCTTAGTGAGCAATCATTTTCATACATCATTGCACAAAAAGCAACAAGTTGTGGCCTAACATGCCACCATTCTACCAGGGAGTAGAATCTCGATACAATGGAAATCACTGCATACACTGATGGGCTTCTGTGTGTACGCAGATGTGTAGCTGGTGCATACTGTTGTTCTACAAGCACACAGAAATGCGACATGGTAAGTCAGGTGGAAACAGGTCAGCAACAGCAAGAACAGAGGGTTGCCTTGATGAATGAAGCTGAATTTAGTTTAAACTTCTCAAATATTAGAAATTATAGAATCAAATTTCAAAATATTTGAAGTAATAAAATATATGTAATATTATGTGCAATCTAGCAAACAAAAATTAAAAGATTTCATATCAAAAATAGATAGCATGAAGTCATAAATCTATGCAATAATTTATGTATTGTCTGTCGTCATTTTATTAGAAAAAATACACAATTATACTTTCTGATAAATTATCAATCTATAAAGATAAATGTGTAAAGTGTAATAAGGAATACAAAACACAAATCTGACTTGTAGATTATAAAAAGTATAGTAAGGAATATAAAATCCAAATCTGACTTGTAGGAATAATGACTCCATTATTCCTAAAATTTCTGTGATTGAAAAATATTCTTTGGGCAATCACTTTCCATTTTGAAATGTATTTCACTGAAATAGTTTAATCTTAAAGATTTTTTCTCTGATTTTAAAAATGATTCACGTATATAGCTTCAAAACATCACTCAAAGGAAAATGAAAATAATAAGAGATAGACAACTTCAGATTGTCTTCAATCAAATTTTTTAGAGTTTTCCATCAAATACGGGAAATATGACACTCAGAAATAATCTTGACAATCACAAAGAATTTTTCTTTGGAATTTTCGTTTCTCTGGTCTACATTTTTTATACATTTTATCTGCTGAATAGGCTGCATCTACTCCTACTAATTAGTTTCCCTGTTGCATTAAATAGAAATTCTGTAACTCCTATTCATGTTTTTCCTGGTTGATGAGTTAGTTTTCTGAAAACAAGAAAAAAGGAGCCACCATCCTGAGTTGACAAAACATTAGCAATAGCTGTGAGCACTTAGTTATCAAGCGGAGGGTGAGTGGCTGAAAAGCAATGTATTCTGTCAACCCGTGTGAAAATCAGTATTTCCAGTGAGACAAGGGAAGCACTGGGAAGCTCCAGCTTTGTCAACGTCTTCCAAATGCTTTGAGGGGTCAGGATAGCCAAATCGGGTAGAGAAAGGGAAACAGAATTAGAACCATAATTTTTAGATATTTCTAGGAAAATGCTACTTAATGTTAGATAAATCTGTGAATAACACCGAAACACCTTTCTTTGTAAGTGGGCTGTCTTAGGATGTTTGATTGCTTTTATACGCAAATCAACCCCCCTCGTCTCTTCCCACTTGTCCTTTCTAGAAGTTTACACAGAAACTTGGCTTCTTTTCACCTCCCCCTTCTTCTCTGAAGAGGGAAATCCTATCACACTCTCCAGAATCTGGGCAGCTCTGGGGTGATACCATCTGAAGATGCTTGAGCGTTGAAGCATTTCTCAGCTCTGTGCAGAGAACATCTGTAGCCACTAGATTAAACAGAAAGTACCAAAATTGAGAAATCTGAAGAAGGTTTGAAACCCAGACTTCAAAATGTGTCTTAAAGAAAAGCTTAAAGTAAATAAGTGTATCTCAGTGTAGAGACAGACAAGTCTTAGCAGGACTGCTCCCATCAAAACAAATCTTATTTGTATTTCCTTTCCTTTTGTCTGTGCTTGTGAAGTGATTAGCTCACTGGGACGTGCCAAAGCCCATCAGATGCCCTATCATCCAAGGGCGCAAAAGCACTTGAGACCAAAGAGAAAACAATTAACGTCTAAAAATGCACTCCAAACTGTGCGTGTGACTTCAATCCTGATTTTTGAACTGTTCCTTCATTCAGAAATTACTCATATTTTCAAACCATTAGGCAAAGACAAGTGTGCATTCATATACTTTTATAATTAAAGACTCTAAAATAGTGTATTTAAAGTACCAGATATGTAATCAGGCCGCAAAGGTTATATGTACACTGAACACACACAGATTTTATCTCCCTTGCTATTATTCTCCATGTAATATAATGTAACAGCTATTTGCATAGCGTTTATATTATGGTAGGTATCTTAATATCATCTAGATGGTTGGGAAGATACAAGAGGACAAAATGGGTGGTAAGCAAATATCATGCCATTTTACAAAAGGTACTTGAGTGTCTGAGAATTTTGCTGTCTTTATGGAGTCCTCACCAGCCCCCTCAAATGCTGCTCACTGACTGTTCAAGTCCTTGTCTACAGCCATCTTGGGCCACCAGCTACAACTGCTGCTGCAGATGTGATCAAAATATGTAGGAAAATCTCCTCCAGTTAATCATAGGGATTATGTTTTTTCCAGCAAATTCTCTCATATCTTCCTTCAGACTACTTCCAAACTTTTTCCTCTGAAATGCATTACTTTTCTTATAATTATGCTGTTCCAGCTCCCATGAAGGCTGTTGTTGGCAGCCTAAACATAAGTCACAAGGAAGAAAACCACTATCTGTTGTTGTAGAGAAACTTAAACTTGTTCAATACAACTTTTTAAAATATGTTGCTCTGACTTGAAGAAACTTTGAGCCAAACTTGGCATGATTTCAGTTTCTAAGAGTTTGCTTTGTTAGACCTTAGTATGTGCTCTTGGTGTTTTAAATAAAAGTGCCATTTGACAGTTCAATATTACTGAAAATTAAAAGGATTTCAGCAAAGTTTAAGTATATGAATAACTCAGCACAAAGTAAATGATACGTTCTATTGAGTATTTACTATATATGTGCTAAAAGTATGGACAGAAATACATCAGAAACTAATTTTTAAAGAATGAGCTGAAATTTATAGTCTGTGGATCAAAAATGTATTCAGGTGTATCTTTTCTAACCTAGACTAGGTTTTGTTCTGGTACTTTTACTTCTTAGGCAAAGTACTGCCAAGTTGTAATGAGTGAAGACATGTCGCTTCCATCTATTGGAATATTCCTATTCTCCATGGAATATTCCCATTCCAAAATTTTCTATACTATCTTCAGGTTTTTTTTTTTTTTGGTACCAGGAACTGAACTCAGGACCTTGTGCTTGCCAGGCAGGTCCTTATGCCTGCTGAGCTATCTCCATGGTCCCTATCTTCACTTTAAAAAAAGAAAACAAAACCTTCCCTTGACCCATTTTTCCTTTCTGGCTATAAACTCATTTCTCATCTCCTCCCCTAAAAAGCAAAATTCTTCTAATAATTTGTTTAGATCCACTGTCTCTATTTCTGTTTTCTTCTTCCTTTTATCCTCTTGCTTTTTAAATTTTTTATTATAAAATATATCACACAAAGCCCAGTTTAAAAATAAGTTTCTAGTGTGCACAGTAATATAAATATAGACAATATACTTTATATTTCTAATATAGAAGAAATAAGCTTAAATATTTTCACCCTAAAGAAATTATAATTTTAAAGGGGTGTGTTTAACTATATTCAAATAACACAAGATCTACCTGTATCAATATATCATATGATCTCCTGAGATTTGTATGATTATTATATTTATATATATGAGTTAAAAGAAATACCAATCATATACTTTAAGGGACTACCATTTCTTTTCAAAAGTCCTTAACACCTGTTCAAAGAGATATATAAAGTATTTGTTCATCAATAAGCATGTGGTAAATACAGTATAATATTCATAAGCCAGAATTACTAGCTAACAGTCAAATAAACAACTTAAATTTCTATAAGATTATCTCAGGTTACCAGGATATTCAAAGATAATCTAACATTCTTAACTTAGGGAGATTTTAAAAACTAATAAAATAATACTATATTTAGGGCTGGGGAGATGGCTTAGTAGAATAAGTGCTTCTCTGGCAAGAGCAAGGGCCTGAGTTCAATCCCTGGTTCTGCAAAACATAAAATAAAATAAATAAATAAAATAGTACTACATTTAATACATGACTCTAATCCAAAAAAAGTGAATGTACCATAGGTAGATTTGAAAGAGGGTCATTAAATCTACTAGGAGAAGTTGCTTACAGAATAGAACAAGGAAATCAAACTGAATATAAAGGATCAAGTGAATTTTATCTGTAATGATTTATTCCTTAAGAAAGACTATAGTGCAAAATATTACCAATTTTCAGTTCTGGACACTGAGCACAAGACTCTTTTATATAATTATATTGGCAAAGAAGGTCATATTCATAAAAACAACTTGCTCAATCAATCCCAAGCCAATCACTTTATGCAGAATGATGGCATATGCCTGAAGATAGTCCTGACTATATAGTCAAAAGTATATGTCAATATGAGATAGCACAAATCTCATAGAGTAAAATATAGTTCCTGCTGTGGCTGATGTGAGACCTTTAACTGAATGGGTTTGTATTAATGC